TCCTTCCTGCTGCTACCCTTGAGGGTGAACCTGTTGTGCCCCTGTGGCAAGATGTTCTGCTCCTGGACTAGCTGGGTGGTTCTGTCTTGTACTGACTCTGTAGGGATTGCAGCTGCAGGGTTACATCCCAGGCCTGTATGCCTGGCCTGAGCTGAGCCTGGAGGGGACAAGGTGGAGTAGCAGGGAGAGGCAGCTCTCCCACACACTCACTGGGTCTGGGCTCGGACTGGGTCTGGGTTTTCCAGAATGTGGCAGAAATTCCTACTCATTGGGCGGGGTGGGGGAGGTGCTGCGGAGTGGTGGGGGGAGTCCCAAGGGGGTGGAAGAGGGTTTCACCCACGCTGTGCCTGGGCTGGGACCTGGGACCGGCGCAGGGTAGCAGGGAGCTCTCCCACACACTCACCGGACCTGGGCTAGGACTGGGTCTGGGGGTTCCCAGAATGTGACAGAAATTCCTATTCGGCGGGAGGGGTGGAGGAGGTGCTGCAGAGTGGTGGGGGGGTATCCCAAGGGGGTGGAAGATGGTCTCACCCATGCTTCGCCGGGGCTGGGACCTGGAGTTGGTCCCGCTGGTGCAGGGTAGCGGGAAGCTCTCCCACACACTCACCGAACCTGGGCTAGGACTGGGTCTGGGGGTTCCCAAAAGCGGCAGAAAGTCCTACTGGGTGGTTGGTGTGAGAGAGGTCCCCCAGGGGCCTCTTGAAGGGAATCCTCCTCTGTCTCCTCCACAATCTCCCATGATGGAATAATGGGAAGAAGAAGAGGTGGACTTGGAGGACCTGGAAAAATGGATAAAAGTGAGCACCGTCAGGAGTGCAGAGACCAGCCCTACTAGATGCAGAGACCCCACAGAGTTGCATTGGCTACCAGATTTATTTTTTAAACCAGAAAATGTTTTAAATTTGTAATTCCATATTTGTAATGTTGGCCACAATATTATGATTATTCTTTGTCTGTACTTAGTTTTCACCATTTGTGAAGAAACATTAAAACAAGTTAAATGGCAAAATAATAATAATAATAATAATAATAATAATAGTAATAAAGAAAGTGTACAGGGAAAGAACAAGAACATTTTCTGGAAGAGATGGATCAAATAAGTCTTGGTCTCCCATTCAGGTGACTGATGGCTATTTAAAATATCTATTATTATTGTTTATCCCTCAGGTAAGTATGTAGTTGTAGTCATCCCATCTTTGTCTTGAGATCTGACCTTCAAGAAAAGCACCTCCATCCACAATTGTAATATGTTATTTTCTGCACTGAATCATTTGAGCCTCACTCTCTTTGCCATATATAATATTTCTATCTAACTTAGTTGTTTATAGTCCATCTAACCCACAGAGCTGTAAGGATACAGTTAGTTAACACAGCTCAATTGCAACTCACATGATGCTCAATACAGACTCAGACTTTTGGAACCTTGGCAAAGGGAACACAATAACAATAGAATTAACTGAGAAAACAGTTATGTTAAGCATTGGCTTCTGTAAGATTGGTAAGCACAAATATCCTGTGTAATTATATTTTTAAACTAAACTGCCTTTGTCTTACAGAAAACTGAAAACGAAACCCTTGAAAACTTATAACCACACTACAGTTTTTAAGAGTTCTCCTTCAAAATATTACATTTTATTTTTACTCTGTCTGGGTTCTGGTTTTCTGTCTTAATTTATATTGGCCTGCTTGCTTTGAACAACAAAGAATACAACAGAAAAGAAATATGACAGAGGTACATAAGGCCACAGAAGCCAGCCAGATCTTGGTAGTCCCAGATGCTCCATCAGATGACTCATCATTTTCAGATGTGTAGTTTCTGCTGTTGTACTCCTTGGTTTTGTTCAGTAATTCTTTGCTTCTATTAAGTTGGAGTGGAACCTGCATATGAGGAAGTTTTGTGTCTATAGGCACAAAAAAGGGAGAGATAGTCTTGTTAAGCAGAGTGTTGATGAAGTTAGCATTTGGCAAAACCATATTGGCCTTGGTGGTAATGGAGTCATTCAGGTAAATGAAACTTGCCCCCAAATCCGTGGTCAATTCCCTGAGAGAACTGGTATTATTTCTGTGTACAACCAAATCTTGAGGTGTAGTTGATGATAGAGCTTCTATTGAGGGCAGAACATGGTTTATTTTGGTATCTTGTTGCATATCATATAAATTCATAGCTTTTAGAATCCTTAGTCTGTCCCACCTATCAGATGAAGAATGGGAACTTGGATATATAGGAGGTGATTGTCCAAAAACCAACAAATCTGGATCTATACCTGAAAGACAAATAAGATAGCATTAATTTTATCTTTAATTTCAAAGGGAAAACCTCAGGTACATTTTGGAGAAATATTATTTTGCCATTGGAGAAATATTTTGCCATTGGAGAAATATTATTTTGCCATTATGAGTTACTAGACTAAATTGTACTAGACCATTGTAAATTTCTGAAAGACTTAGGAACATAGTGAAACTAGAAAGAAAGTAATTGCAAGAAAGAAAGAAAGAGAGAAAGAAAGAGAGAAAGAAAGAAAGAAAAAAGAAAGAAAAAGAAATTGGGAGAAAAGAAAAAGAGAGGAAGGGAGAGAGAGATGTGTAGTGGCTACATTTAAATTTATATTCTTAGGATACTTTCTGCTGTGA